ACTTTGTAGCAAAGGGGAAGACGAATGGCCTTGTGTTGCAGGGGGCGAGTGTCGGCATTCTCAACCAACACCATGTCTGGAGCAAAAAGGTGCAGGAATAGAAAGAACAATTGTTGTTTGATGCGTTTTTATACAAGGAACTATACATATGGGCCAAAACAGCAGAGCCCTAACTATATGTATTTATTTTATTAAAATGTCTTAACAAAGGTAAATACATGATATTAACAGTATTACCTGTTATTTCAGGAAATAAAAGTGACCAAATAATATCATTATGTAACACCAAGCTTTCACAATTTTTTCTTGCTCGGTAGAGTTTTCGGTTATTACGAGACTACTATGATATTCTCTAAGAAGACGGAGATTAATACCTTAGCCTCTAAACCCTTGTTCAAACAAACAGGCTCTCAAAAGTTCCTCGCATATGGCGTTATCTTGGTTGACTCGGCCATTGATAACCTTACCGTTGATCGGTAGACCGAATAACATGTACGCATCCTCTAGTGTGACGATACATTCACCATATGGAAGATGAAAGGTGTGAGTTTCAGGTCTCCATCTTTCCACTATTGCGAGACTAATTTTATAGTCAACATGGTAATTGACTATGTTGAGTAACGAACCAAAACCGGCTTATCATAAATACGATTCAATTTATACATTGTAAGAGACATACTCATGGACACGACAACAAAATCTTTTAACATCCTATTAAAAACATGAATTACGTATAAGAAATATAAGATTTACGTATAACAATCATAAGAACTACGGAAATCAAATTTGTCGATAATTAACAGGTATTGAATAAAATAAACTTACAAAGGTTTCAATATTGTTGAGAGTTCCTCTATGCTGATCACCCGTGGTCAAGAGAGCCATTTTTTCTTGGTTACTCTTGTGTTCTTGTTGATGTTTCAAGAAAGAAATAGTGTGTGAGTTATGATTGTGATGAACATATAGGTGAATGTTATATGTATTTATAAGAAAATATGGAGGAACACTACACATTCACGTGAGAATGCTCTGCATGCAATTAACACATAGGCACCACACTAGGTGGCACATGCTTTTGTTCTTTTCACTAAGGTGCCATTCAACATGGCTTGTTACTTTCTGCATGCATGCAAAGCTGCAGCGTGGCAGTGATAAGATGGCATGCATGCAAGCATGTCGTTCACGTGACAAGCCACCCTAGGTGGCGCATGCTTACAAAAATTAGAAGACAAGTCACCCTAGGTGACATGTGTTGTATTGTTAAAAGAGAAGCCATCGTGGATGGTGCATTAGTGATATACACCCCATACTTTCATTAGTCTATTTAAGCGTCTGTTTAAGACGCATTACTGGTATACATCCATAACACACAAAAAAACATACCTCAACATATGGATCATTCATAATATTATAGTATTGTTGCTCATATTAACTGTGAGATGTTCAACTGCGATAAATTCAGTTTTAATTTTTGTAATATCGATTTTATCCGCTTTCAGACAAACAAGAAATCAAGTTTTGCATGCTTCAAAGATAGACTAGAAGTAAAATTACAGCGTGGTCCAGTTTACCAAATTCTTTACAAGTCTCCAATTCTGTTTGATAACAACCAAGTCAGATTTTATCAACTAAAAGTGCACGATGATGATGATGTTTGAAACATGTTTCGAACTCATGAACAATCCAGGTTCAATGAGATTGAGCTGTATGTTTTATTACAATAAGCTGATCAATCTCATGTGGTAGATCCTTATCAAGATTTTGAAGAAGAGGATGAATCTGACGAGGACAACCACCCGAAGTTGATGTTATTGACGAAGAAGAAGAATATGATGAGGAAATAATTGATTGTATGGTCAATAATGCCGATGCAGATCAAGAGCATGAACCTCTACCTACGAGTCATGCGTATGACCCTCTGTTTCACATGACGAACTTGAATTTGGGGGAAGACGAATCAGTCTCAGATATCTTTCACAATCCTTATATGCAGACCAAAGGGGCCTTGAAGGTTGGAGTCAAATTTCATACAAAAGAAGAGTGTGTTAGAGCTATCAAAAAATACCACATGGAAATTTTAGCTGATTTCAGTATAGATCGAACTAATTCAGGGAGGTACATTATTTTATATCTTCAAAAACCAAATTTCCCTTTTTCGTTTAACTGCATCTTACAAGAAGAGAAGTGATTCATGGGAAATATATACCATTGATCCACTTCGCACTTGCATCACTACCGTTCCGATGCAGGATCATCGAAAACTTAGTTCTCAATTAATATGGCAAGAAATCTTGCCTCTTATTAGCTAGGATCCATCATTAAAGGTGAGTACAATTATTTCTCATATTATTACAATATTCAATTATGCTCCCTCTTACAGGAAGGCATGGATCGCGAGGACTACGTCAGTTGAATTTGTCTATGGTAATTGAGAGGAATCGTACAAAGAACTTCCAAGATTTTTGGTGGCACTCAAATATTATGCTCCGGGAACTATTATAATTTTGGAGAAACTCCTGACATTTACCCCATACAGAACTCGTGTCAGTGGAAATGAAATATTTCATCGTTTGTTCTAGACGTATGAACCATGCATCAAAGGTTTTGCATTTTGCAAACCTATTATACAAATTGATGAAACTTGGTTATACGGAAAGTATAAAGGAACATTACTCATGGCAGTGGTACAAGATGGTAACAATAATGTTTTCCTGATTGCCTTCGCTCTAGTTGAAGGTGAGACAAGTGGTGCATGGAATTTCTTTCTGAAGAATCTCTGATTACACATTGCTCCTCAACCCAACCTTTATTTGATTTCAGACATACATTCATCGATTGTGAGTGCATACAATAACTCTGATAACGGTTGGCAGGACCCTCTTCAACACATGTCTATTGCATTAGACATATCACACAAAGCTTCATGCTCCATATCAAAGATAAGACACTTTGAAAGAAAGTTGTTAATGCAGGATATGCCTTAACAGAACCATCATTCCAACACTATCGCTAAGAAATCCAGTTGACAAACTCAGAAGCATTAAGGTGGATCGATAACATTCTAGTGGATAAGTGGACTCGGGCATTTGACAATGGTCAACAATGAGGCCACATGACAACAAATTTGGTGGAATCATTGAACTCTGTCTTCAAAGGCATCAGAAACCTACCAATTACTGCTTTGGTTAGAACAATATATTTTAGGATGGGGTCATTGTTCGGCACAAGAAGTTCAAAATGGAGGGCAATATTACAATCAGGGCAGTTGTTCAGTGAATGCACAATGAAATCATTTAACAAGGAGGCTGCCAAAGCAAACACCTATAGTGTCGCCGTGTTTAACCGTATTAAAGGTTTATTTAGTGTACAAGAGACAATGGATCATAATGAGGGGAGACCAAGGGAATATTATCGGGTCGAACTAGATAGAAGTTAGTGTGATTGCGGAAAGTTTCAATCATTTTGCACGCCTTGCTCTCATGTCATAGCGAAATTTCGCATGTTTGCTTGGACCCAATACAACATATGTCCTCGTTTACACAATAAAAAGCGTTTTAAGTGTGTACATCAGTACCTTCTCCGTGTTGGAAAAGGAGGATTATTTGACTGCTTATCAAGGGGACATTGTTTGTCACAATGAACAAATGCGATGGAAGAAAAAGGGGCGCTCCAATAGTACTCATATTAGAACTGAAATGGATACAACAAATAAAATGATAAGATTATGCAGTATATGTCATCTTCCAAGACACAATTGAAAAAATTATCCGAATATTGAGTCTAGCTCAGCAACCTAATTTTTTCATAGCAAACTTTATGGAGTAATTAATTTGTTGTAAGCAAGAAATTTCAATTTAAATTCGAGTTTTTATTTCATGTTCAATTTATCAATCAATTATAACAACCTTCAGATGATGACCCAAAAAATTACAACACGACAAACTCAGGACAACAACACAACCACATGTTAAGCAGACAAAACAACTAAATACATCATAATATCTAAGAGATAAAAACCATCAACACAATACCGTCTGATCCAAGCATCATCATCATGACATCAGCGTTGCATCCCACCTTTTTTCATGACCGACTTAGTCCATTTTTGTTCCTCACTGTAATTTGTCTTTCAATTTTTCTGATTTGTTCACCTTCAGAAATGTCTACTTCCAACCAGCGAATCAAGTGTCTTTGAAAATGCTCGAATGTCCGCGTGGTCCAGAGTTTGATCTTCATCAGAGACTTTGTTGCTGAAAAGTAACATGCGCATCTCTTTTGATCAGTGAAAATCTTGACAAGGGAGTGGAAGACATTTTCTAAGAGTGATGTGAGAAATAGTGTGAAAAATAAAGAAGATGAGTGGTTGCATTTATAGAAAGCCATATACAATTGTCAAGCCACACAAGGTGACACCTCCTCTATAATTATGCATGCATGCGCCACACTGCATGACATTACATAGGAGGACAAGTCATGCAGTGTAGCGCCTCCTCTCTATTTTCTATGCATGCGCCACACAGTGACACCTTCTCTGTGTGGTAAATTTTTTTTGTTAAAAAAATAGTTACATTAATAAATTTTAAAAAAATATAATTATTTAAATATTTTTTTTGAAAAAAAATAATTATTTAAAAAAATTCAAAATATAACTTTACTAAATTATAAATCTTAAACTATTAATTTATTTGCATTGTCATAAATACAAAGTGATGAGTAAAAAATTAAGAGTAATACTGACAATATTAATAGAAGGATTCAATTGAAAAAAGAGCAATTTTTAAAATATATCTAAAATATTTAGTTTGTGCAAAGGCAAGTATCACTATTCACTACAATTATTATAGAATAAAGAGTAACTATTTTATTTTCTTGTAGCTCGAACAAGTAATAATAATAATATAAAAAAATAAATTGCTATCAATCACAGGGAGAGAGGCAGTTATAATTTTCGTTACCATTCCGATTTTCCCCTCTTTCCATTTCACATCACACCATCCTCAATGTTCCACAACACCACCAACAACCACCACGCCGTAACCATCTCCGACGACGAAACCGATGAACTAGGTCGTATGCGCGTTCGCGCTCGCCGGAAACGGAAGAAACTCGGCAACCGTCGATTAATCAGGAAGCTTCTAGTCAAATACTGGATGCTACTCGTCATTATTCCAGCTGCGTTTTTGCTGTTCTACGAGGCAACACGAATTGGTCTAAGACCTAGTGCTTCTAAAAATATTGCAACAGCATCTGGTAATCAAGATGATGATCGATCTAGTCCTACATTGGTTCAAGGAATGCATGTCAAAAGTAATTTGAATCGCCTTGATCCTACTACGCATGTTGTTGCTGGTATTAGAGAACGTAAGTCCTTAATCATATCCTCTTTTTTGTTGATTTTGATTTTGGATTATTTGATTTTGTTGAATTGATTATGGTGTAAAGTTACTAGTTCATTTGCTTGATGGTTTATGTTTGATTATGCGTCGAAAAAATTGATTTACAGTGAATTCATTTTGTAAATTGGTTCATATATTTATGTAAAACTAAGTTTAACAATAAATTTCAGTGTAATAATAAGTTATAGAATCAAAAGCTCCAATTTCTAGCTTAGAATCAATTTCAGAGAGAAAAGTCAATTAGCAACCAAACATGACTAAATCAATTCTACACCACTAGTAGAATCCATTTTGATTAAAAGTTAGTTGATTTGCTTGTTGGTTTATGTTTGAACATATTTACCTAAAAAGACGAGTTCTTCCTACAAGAAATTTAAGATTAAAAATAATGTTTGGATCCAATTCCAATTCTCATTTTTAACTTAGGATCATTCTAGAGGCAAAACAATTTTCCAGAAAAATATTGTGTTTGGATTAGTGGCGGTGATAAATTGATTTTGAACGAATTGATTACGAAAATTTTATATTCTGGATGAAATTGAGTTGAATGTAAACTAATTTAGTTTGGGTTTGGGTACATTCATATAAAAGTGGGTTGAACAATGAATGCAAAGCTTCAAATTCTAGCTTCAAGGTAAAATTAATTCCGAATTCAAAATCAATTATACACGAGAACATTCAAACATGTCAAAGTCAATTCTACACCTATAGCTCTAGAATCAATTGTCTCCACCAAAAGTAGAATCAAACATAAGTGTGGCAAAATTAATTTTATGATTTTATAAACAGATTTGTTTGTAGTATATCACAAGAGTGAATGAAAACATGTACTTATTTTGGCTGCCCTTAATTCTTTCATATCATTTGTAGAAATGAGCGAGGTTTTGTATTTCATTTTGATAAAACTTAAGGAGACCGCTGTTGTGTATGACATGTGAGTTGATTCTAACAGGTTGCTTGAAGCTTCTACCACCTGAAAAACTTGAGCAACTAGAGATTCCCGTGGAAGAAGAATCTAGTTTACCTATTCGTGAAGTCTTGTACGTGTCAGGGAATGATTTGTCTTTTGAAGGAGAAAATGCTACATTGTCTCAATTGCGTGCGGAGGATACAAGGTTTAATTTATTTACTGGAAATCAAACATTTGAGGAAAGAGATAGAAGTTTTGAGGTGATTAGTGCTACTTAAATCATTTCCTACCAGAATAGTTTTAATTCACATATTTGGCTACTAGTTTTCACTACTTGACATGACTGGTTTATAGTTATATATACTGTAATATATGTAATATATAATTTGGTTTGTTTCTTCATGGTATAGGTGAAAGAAACTACATCGGCACATTGTGGGTTCTACAGTGTGGATGGAGGATTTAGGATATCTGATGAAGATAAAAGTTTCATGCAAGGTTGCAAAGTGGTGGTTTCTACTTGTGCATTTGGTGGTGGAGATGATCTCTATCAACCAATTGGAATGTCAGAGGCTTCACTTACAAAGGTTATTTAAGTAGTATGAGACTTTATTCTTGATGTATCTTAGAAGTCACTAATCTTATTTGCCAAATCTATTTAGTGGTATGCAGGTTTGCTATGTAGCATTCTGGGATGAAATCACACTAAAAGCACAGGAATTAGTGGGTCGCAGAGTTGGGGACAATGGATTTGTAGGAAAGTGGCGTGTTGTTATCGTTCAGGATCTTCCTTTTTCTGATCAAAGGCTGAATGGTAAAATACCAAAGGTATTAAATCTTTGATACCCGCTTCTCAGCCCTCTCTTTTTTCGGGCTTAGTCAACCAGTTCCGATTCACATAGTGAACCGACTAATCTGGTTTCGTGGTTCAGAGGAACAACTCACAGGCCCAACTTTGTTTCCACCAAGAATCGAACTCGGGTAGTATCCGAACGATTCGTCCTTAGTGGAAGTTCCTTTCTCACTAGAGCCCTCTCTTCCTGTACATCATTTGCTACATCTTGATAATGTTTCAAGTGCATAGTCCTCATGTTGCTGCACTTTCGCATGCCCTAGCAAAATGTTCTCATGCGATTCATGTTTTTTTCCATTCGCTGCTATTGTTTCTTTTTTTAACCGTGTGGGCTTGGTTGTCTTTCAGATGTTAACCCATCGTCTTTTCCCTCAAGCAAAATACTCTATTTGGGTAGACTCCAAGTCCCAATTTAGGAGGGACCCACTAGGTGTGTTGGAAGCACTCCTCTGGCGTACAAATACTATACTTGCCATATCAGAACACGGAGCTCGTAGCAGTGTCTATGAAGAAGCCAAGGCTGTTGTCAAGAAAAACAAAGCCAAGCCGGAGGAAGTTGAAGTGCAACTGAATCAATACAAAAAAGATGGCTTGCCTGGAGACAAAAGGTTTGATGGAAAGAAAGGTATAAATTGATTACATTTTCATCAGATAACAGTGATTATAACACTTTGTCTTCTTTTCTTAACAGAAAATTTTCTGATCTGTTTTATCCATGATTTGCTGTCATCTTTTGATTTTTTTGTCTTTAGCTATATGTATGTCGATAGATGCCAATCCTGTCAATGAATCTGTTGCCAAACATTGACTTTCGTTGATTGGACCTTTTCTTTATCACTGCACCAATATTTTATAATGTTCAATCAAAATTGTTTTTGCAGCTCTATGTGAAGCCTCTGTTATCGCGAGGAAGCTCACACCGCTATCTAATCTGTTGATGTGTGTCTGGTTTAATGAGGTGGTTCGCTTCACTTCTAGGGATCAGCTCAGCTTCCCGTATGTTCTGTGGAGGTTGAAAGCATTCAAAGACATCAATACGTTCCCTGTCTGCACGCGCAAGGATTTGATCAATAGCATGGGCCACATCCGCAAGGCAAGACCACTGCAAAAATGATTTAGTTAAATTGGACGAACCATTGAAGCGATGCCTACCTGTAGTTATCAACTCATTCTATATTTCATTTTTTCATTAGCCAATTCAAATCAGGTATTTGTGTTGTTTTTCTAGGCTCTCTCTCTCCCTCCCTTCTTCTCGTAATCGGTATAGGCTATAGTTTGTATTTATTGATTACTATGAGCTTTTTGATTAGGTTGTTCTAGAAAAGTTGTAGTTGATGGAACGAAAAATCATACAAACAAGAGATTTTGCTTTGGACTTTGTTTCCTGACATGAATTTCTATGATAACACCAATATTCTTAAAGTGAAAATAAATCTGTAATTTATTGTTGTGAAAATAAGTTCCCCTTGCCAGACATTGTGGACTTTTCGAAGTGGGGTCTGATGGCAAGGATAATGATCAAAGTTAAACAGGCAAGACAATTAAACACTGTCCCCAGCAAAACTACAAATCATTGATGCAATAGATGCCTCACTGTAAAATTAAGTCCTTACTAGTCCTGAGATAGAAACCTTGCTTTATGAAGGGGACCCTTTTAAAGTTGGATATTTTTATGAGGAAATGCCTTATAGGATTAAGTTCTACCTGGGTTCTTATTTTGTCCTAAAAAAAAATACACATAATGAAAATTGAAAGGGGCCTTTCCAACTTTTGGGTAGTTCCTATTATTATTAGTTATGTCCTATGGGGTTATTATGAGTAGACTTTTGTTTTATGTGATTTTCAAATGAGAAAAGGGAGACATGAACCTTTGGTTTTTGTATAAGTTAGTTTTACACCAGCATCCAACGAAAATCCAATTAAGTTAAATTTAAGATTACTAGAGATGGTTTAAGTTGTCCTCTAAGGGACTAGTTTGCTCAGTGGCATAAGGGAATAAAGAACGGTAATTTCTTAACGCACTCTATATATTTCTAACCACCGCGTGAAAATACAAAAATAAATCAGTTTTTAGAAATACATTTTTGGACGTACCAAAATACTAAAAAATCATGCGAAAAGGAGTCACACAGTCGTTTTGTCAAATAATGAAAGTCCAGAAATACACTTCAAGAAAAAAAATACAATACGGAAGTGTACTTCCGTAGACACCAAGTAATGAATCACTGGAGAGAAAGAATGGAAGAAAGTGCTTTGCTGCCAAATCTCAACTTTTTTAGGTCTTTTCCTTAAAAAAATACATTGAATGGACTTCCATGTCTGATTCTAGGTATATACTTCATCTGTAATGAATCATTCTCAGCTTTTCTCTCATTTTCTATATTTTAATTTTTGTGATCGTACCTGATCAGAAGGAATAGTCATTGCCCCGCGAGCTTGAGTTGAACGACAGTTGTTGAGTGAAGTGGAGGGGCTGTATCTGCAATGTATTCCGATGCTAAAGTAGAACGAGAACAATTAGAGCGCAAGTACTATAGTAAGAGTAAGTGAATGAATGAATACTTGGCCCTCTCAAGTGAGAGGGTATTTATAGCCCCAACGCTGGGCCAAGGTCCACATGTTGGGCTAGCCAAGCAGGTCCAAAATGGAGACTGTCAGCTCCTACGTGTGTAGTGGAGACCCGCACGTGGTCTCCATCACGAATGGACCGCTCTGAACTATTAGGAGGACGTGGACGCGGTCTTTTCGGGGTCAAAAGGCCCCGTAATATTCAGAGGTGTTGGATGCCTGCCCTTCGAGGAGGGTTCTCGCGAGGATCTCTTGAGTGTCGTTGATCCTCCTATGTAGGTATGTGGTGAGGATGTCCTCGGGGGATATATCCTCGACAAGAGGAATGAAATAACCGCCCGACGTAGAAGGGAAAATTCACTCCTGTCGGTCTTCTCCTGCGGCATAGTTGGATTGGGTCTTGTATGACGTTTGGGCCAAGTGCAGACCCAGTCCATAACAGGAGTCCCCCAAATCATTATTCCTAAGGGGAGAAGTTATGACTTAAGACCAACTTGTCGGTCCGACGAGGATAGCTACGTCGGAGTCTCCTATTTCTTTGAGGAACGAGGTCGTCCTTATATGGTAGATGTTCAGATAGAAGTTGGAGTGCGTTTGCGGGGATAGTTGACATGTTCCCCGACTCGCGGAAAAACGAAAAGTTTGTAGGAGAATCACTTTGCGGGCCACGTGGCTTAGCTCTTAGGGTAGAATGATGACCTAGGGAGTAGGGGTCATGTTATACCCCAATTTTTGCCCCTAAAATCCCTTCATCATACCATGTTGATTCACTCACAACAAGATCACACTAGGATTCTTGGTTCCCCTCCCTACTTTGAGTTTTGCTCCTTTTGAGGGATTACCAAGCACCTTGACTTATGTTCCTTTTGTAATCATGAATATTGTTTTGATTTCTTCACTTAACTAATAAAATACAAGGTTGGCTTGTCTTGCTTGTTATCCATGTAGGTGAAGGGTAATGAGATTTAACAAGTTACTCCATGGGTTCATGAGTTTATTTTCATGCCCTAGTCAATATAGCTTGAGAAGTTTAAACCTCACTATTGAATTGGTTTTGCGAGAATTGGCATGGCAAGGTTGCTTTGGTTCATCACATTTCAAGGTTATTAGATTTGACTCAAAAGTACAAGGGTTTGATTGGAGAAGTTGTCATGTTTAGGACAAGGCCTTGTTTCTATTGGCCACAAGAGTATATTTCTCTCAAAATTCAAGATATGGAAGTGGTTTTGGTGGCTATGAGTCTTCATTATCATCCTCAACAACTTCTATTCACAAAAACAAGAATATTGGTACAAGAAATTTGTTCAAACTTGTCAAAGTTCTTCAAGGCATTCTCTTGATCTAGAAGCTAGGGTTTTGAACTTCAAAGGAGCATATCTTGCTCACCTTTTGGTATTTTTGAGTGATTTCAAAGACATCATTCTCTTCAAAGGGTTATCAACAAATCACTTCAAAAATTCCAAGGAGTTTTCACGTGGAAGAAACTTAGTGAAGAAGAAAGGTTATAAGTCATCCAGATGAATCCACAATTCTACATAAGTAACTTCAAATGATGATAACTTGGTCAATTTTCATCACCTTGAGTCCATTCTTTTTCCATAATGATCTTGAAGATGTGAACTTTATGCCTTCTTTTATGTGCAAAGTGGGAAAATGGATGGAGGTTGCCTTGAATATACTAGAGATTATAGGTCATTTCATGATTTTTGGCCAACTTCAACAAGTTATAACTTGCTCATTTTTTGGAGATTTTGAGTGGTTCAAGTTTTAAAATGTCATTCAAGAGATCTACTTCATTCCATCTTTTTTTGGTCAATAGCAAATTCCAAGTGAAAGGCCATGTTTGGATGCAAAAGATTATAAGTCATTTTTGAAGAAGAATTTGAAATATTTCTAAGTATGGAAAGTCAACCCTTTTTCTTCAACTTTGACTCAATGCAAATTTCAGCTCAAGCATCCATTTGATTCCATTATTTTTCTATTGCAAAGCTTGTAACCTCATCTTTCTAAAGCATCAAGAATCATGCCTTGAGACCCCTTGAGCTGAGAATGCCAGAGTTTCAAAAATGGTAACTTCGAATTGAAGTTTCCTTGCAAGTCAGAATTTGAATTTCATGTTACAACCTCTAAATCTCAAATTAACGCGCGTTTTGGGTCTAAACATGATTAACCAACTTTCCCAAGTGGATTAGTGCATCAAAACACAAGAATTGGATGAGTTTTGATGAAGTTTGGATCACACTTCACTCGTGCATCAGGTTTGCACGAATTTCCTCCAAAATGCATCATTCACTCTTCCTTTTGATCCCATTTGCTTCTCCTATAAATACATGAACTATCCCATTCAATTTCCCAAACTTGAATAGCCAGAATCACCCTGCCAAACTTGTTCCATAACTCAATTTTCTGTAACTTTAAAATCTATTCTCGAGCCCTTTTCAATCTAATTTTTCCATCAATTCACCTTCCTTGATCTTCCTCGAAGCTAACCACATAGTTACATTCAAGAATCGTGCCCTATATTGCTCCATAGAAGTCCAGTTTCAGAGCTCTACAACTCAACTTCAATAGGTAGATTCCTTCATCAATTCTTCAAAACTCTGATATCATTGTGTTGGTCTCATTGCCTTGGTTCTAGTCGCAACACTTACTTTTTACTGGAAACACGTTTTGACCATGAAATTTCAAATCCCTTTTCAAAACTTTCCTTCCAAATTGCTTGAGCTACAGTTTATATAAATTTGGCGCGAGGGAGTGGTTGTCTTCGTCTTGAAGAGATGAAGCGAATGACATAGGTCTGAGCTTCTGATTTTACAGTTTGAGAGACCTGCAATTCGTGATGGCTGGAGGTTGAAGATGACCAACGTGCCATCTTCCAACCAATGAAGGCGCGCCATCTGTATTTTTCAAATCTGATTTAATTAATGATTCTGTACATTATTCACTAATGACCATGATATGCACAACGCGCCAAATCCCTTGGATTTGATTACTAACGCGTTTTGACTCTCATCCAATGGTCCACATATTTTACTTTTATTTTCTTTTTCTGATTTTTATATTTTAATTGTTTTAAATTTCAAAAAATCATAAAAAATCATTTTTAGTCCAAAAAATCTGAAAAAATTATGAAAAATATTTTTGATTATTCTCTTTCTGATTTTTATTTTTTCACAATTTAATTTTATGTTTTGGTATTTTTTATAAATTTTACACTTATTTGATTTTTTTTAAATGTTTAAAAATACTTTTATACATTTTAAAATTATGAAAAAATTATGGAATGATCCAATGATATTGTGACAAATATTGGTGACCTTATTATTTTTTTTCTGACTTTATTATTTTTTACCATTTTTTGTTTATTTTACCCATTTATTTTAATTTTAAAAATAGTTTCTGACTTTAAAAAATTACCAAAATTTTCGTAAAATTATTTGAGTCATTTTCTGATTTTTCTATGGTCTTACTATTTATTTTTTGATTAATTTGAACATAGTTGATATTTTTCTCATTATTTTCTATTTTTAAAAACATTTTTAAAAA